TTCATTTAGTCAGAAAGCAGCTGTGTAAGGGGTGTGATTTGTATTTACATGCACATACAGCCTCTCCCTGTAGCTGGCAGCTACAATGGAAGGCACAGCATCTCTCCCCAGGTTGGAGAGTATGCCCTGCACTTATCCAGACAACAAGAAGACTGTTATTCTCCGATCTGAGGCTGAAGAGCATCATTAGTGGCACAGGCTGCAGGATCCTCCTGTTCTCCAGCCTTCTCATTTCAAAGCCTTTCATTTCCCAAGACAGCTGCAAGGTGTCCCTTCAAGGATTTTGCTGTTTTTTGATTTATACTTTTATACGCTTGAATCTCAATTGAGACATCCCAGCCTCATTCCATTTCTGACCTTACACTATGAAAGCGGACTGACCCTCCATCTCTCAGCACTGGGCTGGCTTCCAGCCTGGGTTATGGAAGAGCAGGGGCAGAGCAGAGTGACCCACATGAGGTGCTCAGAGCCCAGGCGGTCACTGCGAGCCGTTCTCTCCACCCTCTGAACTTCTGACACCACTCTTGTTTTTCCAAGGCGTGCTTTTGATTCACTTCATTCTTCTGAGAAATTTCTACCCCACTCTGAGTACAGCAACCCCACAGTTGGCATGGAAGCAGATGATACGGGATGGAGATCTGCAGACAATACTGAAAATTGACATCAATTATTATTTGCTTATCTGTTTTTTGGGTTTGTTTGGGGTTTTTTTTGTTTTTTTTTTGGGGGGGGGGGTGGGGGAGGGGGGAAGATAACAGCTACTTCAGCTAGAAGCAAACTTGCTGGCAGCCTGTCAGAGTTCCTGAGGGCCTGACACTTGTTTCTGGTCATTGTTCTGCCTCTACCACACCTGTAAGCATGTGAGCATGCAGTAAGGATATCCAGGTATTTGATTCTCTCCAAATGAAGCTACGAACATGCAGCCAGCAGCAAGGCAATGCCCATGGGTTGACACTTTTGTGTTGATGAATCTATGAGTGAAATACACCCCAGGGAAATAAAATAAATGGGAAGGGAAGGGAAGGGAAGGGAAGGGAAGGGAAGGGAAGGGAAGGGAAGGGAAGGGAAGGGAAGGGAAGGGAAGGGAAGGGAAGGGAAGGGAAGGGAAGGGAAGGGAAGGGAAGGGAAGGGAAGGGAAGGGAAGGGAAGGGAAGGGAAGGGAAGGGAAGGGAAGGGAAGGGAAGGGAAGGGAAGGGAAGGGAAGGGAAGGGAAGGGAAGGGAAGGGAAGGGAAGGGAAGGGAAGGGAAGGGAAGGGAAGGGAAGGGAAGGGAAGGGAAGGGCTTTAGAGGTAATGGAATATTTGCACTGATATAGACTGGAGAAAAAAAACGCAGCTGCCATATAAATTTCCTACCAAAATTCCTTTTGCTTTCCAAAAGCTCCTTCCCTGCTCTACCTAAGATGCTTTTCTCAAACAAACACCTCCAAAAATCAGCAGGAAGGAAAAGTAACTCTCATTCAGAGAAACCGAGGTAGTTTGCATGCAGGTAGGCTGCATTGCCTTCCAACACTGAAGCCAGTTAAATAAACCTCCAAACAGTCTTTAGTACTTGCTTAAATAATAAAGGCGAGTGGGGGAGAGAGTTGTGAGGCTGCAAGTCTATAACATCTCTATTCCTGTCCTATTCAAGAGCCACCCTTAGCTGCTGATGAGAGCAAAATTGGGAGCAAATAATAAAACCATCCTCCTTCCTCAATAATGCCTTTAAAACAGATAAGTGCCAGTTGAATTAGCCTATTTATAAGACTTCTTTTTTCCCCTGACTGTAAACTCCTAATGACTCTCCGTTACACAATGCGATTCAATATGACTCAAGCTTCCAGGGGTCTTGATCCCCTCTAGATAGTGTACCACAAAAGTGATTTATAAACTACAGTCTGAGAAAGTCAGAGACTGAAGTGATTTGAGAAAATAGTTCAGGCTTGTAAGTGAATACAAGTGCTATGAATTCCAGTGCCAGAATGATACCCCCCTCCCCCCCAAACCTTTTCCTATAGTCTCATTTCATACAATGGAGGGAAAAGTGGTGTTAAAGGAAAAGAGGGGTGGGGTAAGAAAGTCCAAAGGGGAAAAGAAAATGAAGAGCTGTATGGTGAGAGCTAACATGCTGTGAAAAAGAGTAAGAGGAGGCTGTTTGCATAGCAAATTGAGTCTATGAGGCTGGGCAGTTCTGAGAGGAGCACACTGGCTGAAGAAGTGCTGAAAGAGAGGCAGAGAAGAAGCATTAACAGCAGAGCACTGATAATCTGAACGTGGATATCAGGTGTATCACTATGGGGGGAAAAACTTGCATTTGTCATTCATCCCCCAACAAACAAGTGGCGAGTAAACCTATATTCTTTTCTTTCTCAAAAGTTATTTTGAATTGAGTGGAAAAAAAAGAAATAGCAATCCCTAAGCGTGCACTTGCTTCTTGCAAGACAGATTTTCCCATCCAAATTTCAGCATGGGGTTGTTATTTTGGAATCCATTCCCTTCCCCCTCTCCCCTTATCGCCTCTCCCTGTCTTTCACAGTGAGGCGTTTGGTCTAAAGACAGCCAGGGAGCTAAATATATATTAATTAGAACTCTTGAGGCTGCCATCAATGAGATACAATTATCCCAAACTGTTGCTATTACAGGCTCTGATAGCTTCATTTAAATTCCTGAATAAAACATGAAATATCTTTAATGAGAAATGAATATAGTTGTCAGGAGGGAGTAGTTGTGATATTGTTACTAGTTGAGATATAGAAGATGAAGACATAATATGAATACCTTCGATTTTATATAAAAATGATTGCTGTTAAGAAAAGACAGATCCCCCTTTAGAGACTTCATTTAAGCTGAACATCCGAAAACACATAAAACAGCAACAGCTCTCTTGTAAGGAAACTCTGCTATCCCAGAGGCAGCTAGCACTCCTGCCTCTATGCAAAGTGGATCTGCTACAAGGAGTAACGGGGAAGAAACACCACATCATTATGGAAAACAAATCATGTGCAGCTCAGTGAGCTCTTCCCGTCGTTACTCAATGGCTGATCAGGGGGTTCAGCATCCAGAACTCTCCCCCACGCTCAAGGCACACACTGCCTTGTCTTTCTTCTTTCATTTTTATTATTTTTAACTCAAATGCAGCTCCCTCTCCCTTTCAAGGCAAACTGAAAGACACAAGGCCAGGACAGCAATGAGCAGTTTTTTAAATCATGCTGCCAGGGAGATGGGAACTGCAGCACCTCCTCATTCCTCCACAGCACCTCTTAGTGATGGACTGCACCTCTCGTCTAAAAATTCACCCTTGATCTGCAGCGGAGCTCTCCTCACCTCCTGGTATTTGACTGAATCTGCAATTACTCCCCTTTGTTCATACATTAAGGTTGGAAAAGATCATCCAGTCCAACCATCAACCCATTCCCATCTTGCCCGCTAACTCATGTCCCTCAGTGCCATATCCACCCTTTTCTCCACAACCTCCAGAGATGAGCCTGTCCTTCCTTTGGGTAAAGCGAGCTCTTCCATGTGCTTTGAGTTTCTCATCCCAAAATAGCCCACGTGTGAGTCCCATTCCACCCCATGCTGATGGGCACCGAAGCATTGAGCTCCAGCATCCCCACTGAAACACAGCTGTGGGTGGGATGGAGCACAGCAGCAATGTAACAGCAAGCACCACCACTTGTACTTCAGTACAGGTCACAAAGTGGAGATGATTATCATACTAATTGAAAGGGCATGGGAAATACTAAGGAAGGCGAACATAATTATCCAAACTGGAAATTACCAGGTCGTTCCCATTCTTGTGGGATCCTCTAGTGACCATGGAGTATGGTCAGGACCTCAATTTAAAGTCTCAGTACAAGTTTGGATCAAGGATTTTTACATTAAATCAATTAATATGCATGTGCCAAATGTTATTTTTGAGGTAGTTGGAGTGTAGCAGCTCTGTTTCTCCTACAAGCTTTGGTTTGCGTTTATTCTCTAGGCGCAGAGATAGAAAATTATCTCAGGGATACAATTCAATTTCTCCTAATCAACACCTCTTTGCTTCATCGAGTAAAGCACATTTAAACCATTTAGAGTTAGTTGTCAAGGAACAGTCACTCCAATTAATATTTTCCCAAAGATGTTTGTACACGACAATATAATAAAACAAAGAAATAATAAGAGTGAAGAGTTTCTAAGTGCCTCTGCCAGACTGGACCAGAAGAGATATCTCTATGGATTCCGCATCTGTTCCACCTGATTATTACTCTTAAATGGAGTTTCAAGACCTTACTAGAGGTAAAGGGAATGCATAGATCTACAGCGTCTCCTGTTCCTGGCAACTTGCAGTGCTAAAGACACTACAGTCTTACCAGTGAATGGCAGGGTCTCATAAGCTGCCCTTCCAGAATATATGAATCAAAACTTGAAGGCCAGTATTTAAGATGAGAAAAGTGTTCTCTAATAGACCTTAAAGCTTATTCCACCCTTGTCTTTGCTCAAGCTGTGAAAACAAGTTACAATTCAACTCTCCAAAATCAGTCACAAAAGACCTTGGAAAGGTAGGAATGGACCAAGAGCACAGCACCACCAGTAGAGTATAAACACACACTGAGCAATACCTGAACCAGCCTGCTTCAGATTTATAAGAATTATAGTTTCTGGGATCAAAAGCCAACTTTAAGGCAAAAAATTGCATCTCAAAAGCAAAGAGGCTTTATTAACAAGCAAGTCCTTTTCTATCAATTTTGGGATCGAGGTAGTCAAATTGCTGAAGCAAACACTCACCACTCACTGCATAAGTCATCTTTAAGGAACACAACTAAAGACCTCAGAGCCTGACACTGCAAACATCGAGTGCAATTTACAGCCCTTGAATCAGCACAACTAGAGCAATATCCAATTATACACACTTTATTTATATAGTTCATTTTCCACAAAAAATTAGTTTTATGTTCCAAAAAAACCCAGCCCAATGAACTAGATTAAAAGCCCTAGTCACTGACCACATCTATCAGCAGAAATATACGCCGACACAAACAATGACTCCACACAATTTTTTCTTTACTGCTTATTTTCATATGGGACTAAGAAACAGCACGTCTGGAGAGTGACAAGATTCCCCAGAGCCCTGTGCATTATTTTTACCCTTTTCGGAGACGACGTCTTCAGCGTCAGCTGGCTTTGACCAGCTGCAGTGGGGATGCTCTGATGGCAGTGGGCATTTTTCCATGGGTAGTTGACAGCAGTGACTTTTTTGACAGCCCCTTCCAGCTGCTCAGATCTGAAGCTGCATTGAAAGGGCAGAAAAGGAAAAAAGATACACAACATTACCAGAAGATGGATGCTTACTTCCAGAATTATGAATTCTCTCCCTTTGCTAAGCCTGATCCAAGCTCTCCCCTGTGTGCCTGAGAACCCCCCCAGCACTTTTCACTCCCCACATCAATTCTCCCAAATTTGTCTCTAGCTCTGGTATGCTAGAATGAGAGGGACTGGACAGAGCAGCCAGTTTGTGCTCAGACGAGGCTCACACATACTCCTCATTGCCTTTATTCTCTTTTCCACTGCTTTCTTCATTAAAAAAAAAAAAAAAAAAAAAAAAAAAATCCCTTCTGACAGAACATACCTGTTCGCTCCTATGTCCTGGAAAAGCAAACAACAAAGCCCTTTGAATTACTTATTGTTACAGCTTGGGGACGAGATTGCATCTCTAAGTTTATAAAGCAGCTACTACATGTGCACCACTAAATACAAATGATTTTAATAATCAGCATTTTATTTGCTTCTTTCAGCAGGGTGCCTTGTCATTACTTGAACGATAATAACACCCGCTTTTCATTTGCTAAACATTATTATGATTATTATTCAGAAGCTTTACTATAATTAACTAACGGAGCCTCACAACACCCCTGTGAGTCAGGTAAAGGATGAATTACAACATCCCCATGTTTCAGGGGGAAACAGAGCAAAGGGGAAGCTAAGTATCACAAGACAGAGGAGGCTTGGATTAAAACCAACGCTTCTTGGATCCAAATCCCATGCACAATCCACATCTTGACCTGTTTGCCTTCAGCTCAGCACCTAGCACTGCTGTCAGGTCAAAGGCACTGAGGACATTTGGGAAATTCAAAAAATAACACAAAATAAGGGAAAGGGACAGGGGTGTAGAAAGGAGAAAAAAGAAAAGAGACGTGGCAATCCTGAACAATCCCTAGAAATCCCAAATCCCTAACAACCTTTGGCAGCTCCTGCTCCCAACTGGTGTTGGTGCCCGGATCCTGGATGCTCACGTTTGGCACCTGCATTGAGCACATCTGTATCTATACAGACGACAGCTTCTGCCTATAATAGCCACCTGTGAGACCAAGGGAAAGGCATTAAAAATTAAAGAACTGCAGAGTAGATTGGAAGCCAATCTTGGGTTTATAGACAGGGAAGTGTTTGACAGGTGGTCTCTGTGCAAGAAGTGGCCTTAGAGACACATTTCCCTTGATTTTATTTTTTAATTAACTTTTATTCTCAGTATTATCTTGTCCTTTTTCCCCTCTTTACTTGGCTCCTTGCTTCCAGCCTGGAATGCCATTTAGCACAGCGCTATAGGTTCCTTCAGTACAGCAGTCCAGCTTTATAGAACCTTCCATCTCTGCTCTGATGTCAACCATCCACCCAACAAGTTTTATCCACATAAAGACTTTGGCATAAACAACAGCTACACTGCAGACCTTATCACCTAGTTAAGTGGGTTATCCTATAACACAGTGACACGTCCAGCAAAGCCCATATTTACGGGGGCTGCTCAGTAAGCAGTAACCCAGGCCCTGGGTCAAGCATTTGCCTGTTAAGCTGTACCACATGTGCCATCAGGCCCTTCCTGTTTGGGTTTCACGTACCGATTTTTCGCCCCTCTCTTCCCATAAAAACAGATGACCTTAGAGAGACTGGGAGTACCATCTCCATCACTGTCTGGAGCCCAGACTGCACCTCCTGCCATAAAAATGCTTCCTCACCTTCCCTCCTGCTCAGCCCTTGCATTCCCACTTTCAAGTTAATTATAATAACACATCTGCAGCCAAACAACAGAAACTCGTGCATCCCCTCCAGGCCCCCCCTGGCTTTGCTTCATTGACTCCTCCAAACCCTCCATACTTGGACGAGAGCACTTAACCTTCTGCAGAATATCTTTATGCTCCATTTTCCTTTCCATTAGGAAGGAGATGAAAGCAAGCAGAGGATGCTTTTGTACAGCAGTTGCTGCTGCCAGCAGATGTGCTCTCCCAAGTTTGTGTGTGTTTTAAGCATAGATTTGAAGACTTCTGAGTGTGAGGGGTTTTGGTGTGGGAGAGATGATAGGTTAATGGTTGGACTTAATGATCTTAGAGATCTTTTCCAATCTAAATGATCCTACAATTCTACAGATAAAGCTTAAGTGATGAGGTGTGCAGCCTGATGCAACGGTTTGTGCCCAAGTCAGAGCAATTCATCCTTTTTCTGTCCTCCAGTTTCCTAATGAAGAAGGTGCTAACCCAACCTGCTCCACTTTGAGTGCCATTTTCCAATTTTTCTACAGGCATAACAAAGTAAGATTCCAAGCACTGGTGTTTTTCACTTGAGGAAAATTTCCTTGATCAACCTGTTAAGCTTTTTCATGGCACCAACTGCTTTTCTCCCTGTTTGAAAATCTTCTGTATTTTTTTTCCTAAGAAAATATCATAACAAAATACCATAACAGCAGGGGAAAAAAAAGTGTAAATCCACTAAAAACATAATGAAAATAAAATAATTAGAATAATAGTGGAGTGAAAACTAAAACTAGATGCTTCTAATTGGAGAGCAGAAGACCCAGTCCATGCAACTGATGAACATTAAGATTTTTTGTATGTTTCCAGACTAGGCTGTGTACCACTGACAGTGAGTGCTGAAGCAAAGCCTGGGAAGTTCTGAGTGCAGAAAAAAATGTCTCTAATAAAAGCTTTCTGTGTCCTCCCAGGAGGCTTTTCACACACCACAGAGATATGGGCACATCTGGAGTAGGCATCAGCTAAGCACAATGTAAAGGGAGCTGAGATGCCGGATGTACTTTGAGTAGAAAGGTCCCATTTGTAAGACATTCAGCCCCACGACTACTCTCACTAATAGGCTGTGCCTTAAGTGTAACTGGTTGTGACCTCTGTTTCTCATCTCTTGTTGGAGGAAGGAAAGAGGTGCTGGACTGGGCAAGGAGGTGATGATGGGGTGGCCAGGGGGTCAGTGCAGGACATGAACAACCCCAGATCATCTCTTGGCCCTGTGTTCACTTCTGGCATGACTCAAGGCAAGCCATTTAATCCGTTTCCCATCTGTAAGCTCAGAATGCAACTGAGAATGCAAATACTGTCAAGGCAGGAAAGTGCTCAGCCACCACAGCGGATGGCAAGGAGGAACCCTTGAGTTATTATGGATTGAGAAGAACAAGTGCTCTGTTCCCAGGCACTGAGCACTGTTCCGCTCAGAATGATGCTCACAGAGCTATAGGACATCAAGGCAAACACTTGCCCCTCTTTAGTGCCATCAGGATCGCATCAAAGCTGCATGCATCTCTTTCTTCCTCTCCCTTCTCTTATTGCACTAGAGGCTCAGAGTTGCTGGCTCTGGCTCACCAGTCTCATTGTATTAGCTTGATAAACCACCCGTTTACCTATAATGCAACAGACTGTAAAAACCCTTGTGGCTACTGCATAATAAGGAAAATAAATAATAATATGCTTTAACAAGCATCAGTTGAAATAGCTGGGATTTGGTGGACCCAGCAATAAACAGCACATTTGCTTTCCCAGGAACGTGGAAAAACTAATCAGATTTGGTTGGCAGCTATGAAAACACAGCTGATCAACAGCTCAGTGCCGGCTCACACAATTCCCCATCACACAGGGCATCAGGGAGGGATGTTGTGCACATCCCTGCACTAGATGCAGTGCCCTGGCGGGCTGGCAGCTTTCCATCCCTTCGACAGGGGCTGCGGGGCTTTGCAGCCCAGACAGCAGTTTAACCCGAGGGTCAAAGGGCAGTCAGGCGTTATCTACCGGCTGGGTGCATTTCCTCCACATCTGTGGCTCCAATATTCCCGAAAAGACACTGACGAGAGGGTGAGAGCTAATGGGAGCTCCTCCGGTATTTAGAAATGTAAAGGGCTGCATTCATTTTTAATGATGTTGGGAACTCACTTTAAAAATAAATACATAAATAAATAAATAAACAACAAAAGCAAAAGCAGTCAATGGCAATTTACATAGGGTGAAGGAAAAAAAGATAAATTTAATCTCTGCTTGCTGGACAACGGAATATTGCTGTGTGCTTTAAGCACAATGCAATTTTGAGCATACCATTACAACTGTGGGATAGCTTGTACAGTTGTGCCTTGGTTATGCTATATTACACATCTATTGCGTGGGACTAAAATAACTCCTACCTTATTAAGGTAAAATCCATCATCATCTGCCTCCTATTCCTCTGCACAGATGGTGCTTCACTGACCCTTATCATTTTGCATGAAATGTAGGGTTAGCTTTTGAGCTAAGTACTTGTTTGGTACATTCTTGAGAAGTCTTAAAGCAACTTTTGTTTTCAAGACTGAAGCAGCCCTATATCCAATTGCATTGATAGTATGTAATACATAACATAATGATATATAATATATTAATTGACAAAACCAACAAGGAGCTGCTGCAGCATTCCACAGCTATGCAGGCAGATAGGGTGCTGATCACCTCCCACATGTCAGGAGCAGAGGACAAAGAGGTCCCTATGGGGCTCCTTTGCCACCAGCAACCCTTTTCCAGTGAGTGAAGCCCCCACAGGATCAACTTTCCCACTAGGACCATTATTCTGCATCAACCAGATCTACCAAGCTGACATTGCTGCTGTAGAGCATAGGGCCAAGGTCTGTCATAAGGGAGAAATAAAGCCAGGTGCAATTACCCTTATGCTCCTTGTATTGATTATACTACAGCATTAATTCTAGGGTAATGCAGCTGTGGATGGAGCCAGGATGACTGTCTCCAGCATAGGATGCTCCAACCTTTTTAGGTGTGCTGCAATTCAATTTTTTTTTTTTCTCCTTAGCTATCTTCTGTTTAAGATGATGAAATCTAAACATTTAGAATTCAAATGCCAACTGACTGCGCACAGGCCAAAGAGTTCTTCACATATATTAAGCTAATGCAATCCTCACCAAAATGCAGTAACAAGAAGACACCTCCTAAGAACTCCTTCCTGGTTCTTATGGGTTTTGGTGGTTTTACCAATTCCTTCCCATCCACATCACAGAATCATCTCTATGATTCATCTACACCTTCACGAGCATCCTCCACAGTGGGACAGCCAATATCAACATCACCTCTTCATTTTAAGAGTGACAGAGAATTATGAGGTCATTTTCCACGTCCTGTGTCATTTCCCTCCCCAAATGCACGACCGGTCCTTCAGAGAATAGCCTCGTGGGTTCTTGTCTAGACTGCCCTTTAATTGACTCAAGCTACAGGACTTCCATCATTTCTCCAGGGAGATCATCCCACAGTCTGACAGACCTTGCTGCCAGGAAACACATCCCAGTGTTACCCCTACATTGTCCTTGCCCAGTGTCATGGCAAAACTACAATCAGCTAGCATCTTTTACTAGGAGACCTATGCGTTCCAAGTATCCCACCCTGCACATGTGCCACTCTTCCACTGATCTAGTTCATTGCCATTTGACAAGTGGCAAACGTTGTTTCTAGATCAATGTAATTATTTTCCTTTAGCACCTGATCAGCTTATGGAGAAATGTTTTGGTCACACTGGTGGAGGGAATACAATTTTCTGGGAAACCATGAAAAATAGCGAGTCACATATTTTTAATTTATTATAGGGACGAAATAACACATTTTGTCTTTAATAAAATCAAAGTTCAGAACCTAGAAAAAGAGCTTTGTAAAATGTTTCTCTTCTCTTTTCTTTTCTTTTCTTTTTTTTTTTTTCAAAAGAAATCAATTTAAATTCATTTACTTTTGGGGTAATCACATAAATAGTGAGCAACAGGTTAATAAGGTAGTAATAGATATATTAATAATGAGGAAATCAATTGTTAGAGGCTGTTCAATAGTGTACTTATTAGGTTTATATTCATCTGCACTACTAGAACTGATGTGCTTTTAATAATCTATAACATGTTATTCATGACTCGAGTATTCTTCCCTATTAATAATTTACTAATGCTTTATAAACTATTTATAATTGCATTCTTCATATAAAAATATGATCTTTGATCTAACAGCAAGTGATAACTTGGGACAGTCCCTACTGGACTCAACTGACGAGGCAAGGAAACCACAACGGAGCTGCTGGAGCACCATCTGTGCAATCCACAGTCCTCAGCATTTGCTTTAACTGGTTTTGCAGCTCTTCTGAAACCTGATAGCCAACATGAATCGAATTTTAATTCTGCATAACTCAGTAGCAAAATGTTCTTAGAGAACAACCAGTTCTCCTACTCAGTGTTTGAAAATCTCTATTTCATCTCCAAAACTGAGATAGTGTTAGGAACAGAGGCTAAGAGGGGATCATTGGAACTCTTGTTAAAGAATTATTACAGAATTGCAACTTGTTTTCATCTTACCAATCGCATCCAGGCATGAAATCAGTAGAAATCGTGATGAAAATTACTGGAAAGATGCAAAGAGGAGTAATGATATTTCTTCAACAGTGTAGGGTCCTTCATTGAACTGGAATTGCCACTTCCGTAAAGGCTGGAATACATTAGAAGAGTTATTCTTTCTGAAACAAAAAATAATGTTATTACTCAAATAAAAATGAAAATAAAAAAGAAAATACAGGGAAGGGTATCAATAGTTTACAGCAACACAGTGATTCACTTACGAAGAGAACAAGGGAATTCATCTTGTTTAACCAAATAAAGATTAAATGTGGTTTTGATTACTCTTCTAAAATACATTGAGGATTCAGGAGGGTGAGGTCAGTGGAACATGGAGAAAGATTATATACGTTAAAAGACTCTATTGGAACTAGTTCAGTTGCTTGTAGATTGGCCATGAAAACTGATGAAGAGCATTGATTGAGTATCAAAAGCATATGATAATTTTCTAAAATTAAGCAGTCAGAAAAAAATTTCAACTGGAAGCCTTGGCACTTTATTGCCAAGGAAACAAAAATCTTGTGTATTACAATGTCCCCAAGGGGTTGAAAAGGAGACTGAATCACTGTTTGTTCGTGTTGTTCTTATCTTATACATCAGGTTCCTGTAGTCATCGCTGGAAAGCAAGAAGGATTTGAACTGTTGGTTTCTGGAAGGCTTATAGGTTTTGTCTGGGTTCAGTATTGGCCTTTCTTTGAATTAATGCTATCAGGGTGTTGCTAGGAACAGGATGTAGAAAGATGCACAGATACACATCCGCACATCCCCAGTTTAGATGAAGGCTGTAACTGATGGATGAGCTCTTGGGAGAAGAATACAGTTTGCTCAACATACCTTGATAACATAAACACGCTTTATTTCTTTAGGTAACTCAATAGTACAATATATGAACGATGAGGCAAAATAGAAAACAGAAAGAAAAACCTTCAGAGTATTTGTACTACCTAGATTTGATTGATTTTGAACACAATCTTGTATGCCAGAGTGATGGTCTGTCTTAACTGGAGTCTGAATAACCCTTGAAGTCTTGAATACCCTGGATCCTTCTGTATGAAGTTTGGGGCTACAATTCTCCCTCTCCAGAGGAAAAATAACTTCAGAAAGAGCTAGAAGAGAAGAAGGATCTGTTATGTCTGGTAGATAGGGTGATTTATCCAGTTTGGAAACAGAGTGATAAAAACACAGTCTCCTATTCCCCCAGAATAAAGTTGAACAATGTAGAAAATTAGCCAACTTCTTTCAATATTTTTTTTCTTAATTGCTATCATTCCCAGTTCAGTTTTATCATTCAGCAACGCTTAGAAGATGAACTTCTCCCCCTCCCCCAAAAGTACTTTCTAACAACACTTATTAAGTGTGCTGGAGGAGCAGCCCTAGTATCTGGTGTGTTCTCCTGTTCTGTCCTCCCACGCACAACTCAATCTTCCTCCACGCTCACTCAAGAACAGCATCCTCCTCTTTCATGCATCTGTGCTAAAAGTGGAAAGAGCATTTGACTTAAAGGAGCACTAGCAACCAGTTTTAAATCTCAAGGTAATTTGTCGTCAAAGTAATTTTTTAGCATAAATGGGGGATTTCTTTCAAGTGGTGAGAGAGGAAGGGATCTGTTAAGTGAAGGAGAATTAATTATTCCCAGACATTACTGAAAAATACAAACACAACCAGGGTGTGACAGAGCACACCTGAGAATTGATTTTAAACAAAAGTGAACCTGACCGCTCACATTTCATCATCCCCCTCTGTGAGACTTCTCCAGGCTTCACCTCTTGTTCAACAGAATTAAGTATCAATATGGCCACTGTTAGAGAGAGCTGCAAGATAACCCTATTTGCTCACACCGTCTCAGCTGATTAAGTCTTGTTTCCCAGCTGATTGGGAAGATGTACGAGAGTGACAAGCTTTTGTCTTACAAGATCTTTGAGTCTGAAGTCTGTAAATTCTCATCTCTCTCTTTTACTCACTTCTTCTCCCTGTAAGTCAATACAAACACTGAATCACAATTTAGGGCTCGAAGAGAAAACTGAGACCTTCTTCTTCCAAAACACCATTCTGAAACATTCATGGCACCTGCCATTTGGCATTACACCTTTCCAGATAAAAGATGCAAGGACATAAGCTTTGTTGTTTGTTTTTTAATGAAAAACATATTATTGGATTGGTTTGCATAAAAACAAACAAACCAAAACAGTAAAAACAGGGCAAGGGGATGCTAAATGCTGATGAGAGCTCAGACATATTACCAGCTGTAATGTGCTGCTCCAATCTCCAGCTTTGAAATCCATGCTAAAAGGCTTCGAACCATTTCTCTCACAGCCTATAACATACACAGAGCAGAGCACAAGAATGCAATTAACTCCAGCACAGCTCTCCCCTGCCTTGCATAGCTGAGTTAGGAAGGATTGCATGAGAAAGATTTAGAGTTACACCATTAACTGCAAAAAAAGTGATGAACAGGAATGTCACCTGGTGTGCCTTCAGCCCCAGACCATCTCAGACAACACTAAGATGATTTCTTTCTCTTGGGGATCAGCTGAGGACCATGGTCAAGGTTACGATGTGATGAAACAGCTGGGAAACAGAGGCATGCGTGAGGTAAAAACCTCTGGATCAGTAGCCCTAACTGCACATCAAACACCATTCCCTACTTTCCTCCTGCCTGAAAATATTTGGGAGAAAAGACAGAACAGTCAAGAAAGATTATCCGTGGCCACAACAATGGAGCAATTTAGAAGAACTCTGGGGATGGTCTAATTAGGCCATTGCACATTAGCTCATGGCACATTGCTGGCACAACAACAAATGCAGTGGCTATTGCATCAAAACACCTTAATGACATCTTGGAGCCTACCCTCCGGCAGCACCGAGACCCTGTAGATGGAAAGGACAGCAAGACTACCTACGTGTGACACTACTCACGAGCAGAAACAATCAGCCTTGATGGAGTATTTTATGAAGAGGTTTCCATCAGGCGCCAGCAGCTTTTTAAATATTAACCAGTGAGATCTACTGGCTGCCACTCTGGGATTACTGTCTCTGACACTGGTGATCCCAGCGTGTCAGCTTAATTTAGCAGCCAAATCCTGGCTCCCAGCGAGTGGCTTGCAGATGTGGATTTTAATTAAAAATATTTAATTTTCAGCTCCGAGTTCCATTTGCTTTACCTGGCAGTATGGTTGTTGGTGCTCATCATACAAAGCACCCCAATGCTGCTCCAAGGAAACCTCAAACAGCTTCCTCCGCCTATGGCAGCTCCAAACAGCCCCACGGAGCCCCGTTCTGCATTCAGCCTCAACAACTGAAACAGAGAGCTAAAAGTAAATCATTTGTGGCTCAGAACCTACCTTACACCAGAGCAGCTCACTCAGAGATTGGCGACATGGAAAGTGCTCCTTTCCAGCTCCAACACGATGCATCCCATGAGAGTCTGTTTTTCACCCACAGGACGCTACAGACTCTAGGTGTTGCTCAAACCCGGAGGAAAGAAAGCTACGTTTAAATTGGCACCTCAGGGTTGTAAGAACATGTCGTTTGACAACTAGCAAGCTGGGACTTCACATAGCCCAGTGGGACTCACGAGGAGTTTTATACAAATATTTTTCACTAATAGCTTTCTACATCTGCAGACGTATACTTAGCAAGTCCCAAGTCAAATAGTTGCAAAAGCATTTAGTGCAGGTCCTAACTATAAGAGAAGGTTCTGCCTTTGTCTTCTGTTTGCACACTGCAAACAGCATCCGTGGCATTTGTCCACATACAGATACTTCTTTTGATTATAGCAGAAAATTCGAGCACCTTGGAAGATGTACATTATGGCTAATAATTATCCAATAAGATGTTTAGAGATTCTCATTTAAGTACTATATTTTAAGGGAGTATCTTGGAAAACCATTTTCTTTATGTGGGAAAGAAAAGCAGACATAGAGAAAAGGAGCCAGAAACAAGTAGGCTTCACTAGACTAATATCTAAATCATTCAACATTCAGCTAACAGATGTTAGTATTTATTATGAATAGCTGCAAATTTTAATTATAGAAAGTATTTCAAAATGGTATATTTTTTATTTTGTCCTATCTTATTTCCAAGGAAGTACCTATCTTTTCATTCCTTTTGAGAAGAGAAATAAGTAACTCTAGATGCTCTAGAGAAAGACTTATTAAAGGGCACGTACAATTCAGTGCCAGCAAGAACCTATCCACGGAGAAAGACTTTGTAACTATTTGGGGGAAGGACAGTACACGGTTGTATAGCACCTGATGCAATGGAGGCATGACATACGACCCTTATCACAAATGGAAAAACAAACATCAACAAGACAGATTGAAGAACACATCAGAAACAGTAAAAATAATGTTAAAAATAATCACTGCTAACATTTAGCCTGGAGTCCTTTTTGCTTTGTTATTTTATATTGACAAACCCACGTAAAAATGGGTCCCTAAGACTTTTTGACTTGTAGACAACCCATTTTGCTCTGCAGACCCCAGTGTATCTATTGTCACCCATGGGAGGGCCCCAGGGCCTCTGCTACGCTGAGTCTTTGGGGACGGATCAAATGGCTTCCAGACGAGAACAGAAGCAGACATTTTCCAACCAAATACATCTCAGGTCACTGAGCAATGCTCTGGTGGCTCTGCCTCTCCTGCAAATGCCCACGGAGGCATTTCAATATGGAGCTTTGCCTGAGGAACTCCTCAGGCAGGAGGAGACGTTTGCCCCTGCCTTGGCCAGTCCAGTGAACTGACCGAAACCATCAGAACAGCTGTGTGTACTGATGTCTCCAACTTCAAATTGGGGTGCTCTAGACATGCACATAGGCTTTGATCAAGCAGCACTGCTAGGGAGGAAGGTAGTGATGGCAGAGTCATAACTGGGGATGAGTAGAAGAGTAGAAGATCTTTCAGGCTGGGCTTTGAGAAGAACTGAATCACGACATCTGCTTGTTGATGCACTGAAGTCCCAGAGACTCTGTGCCAAGTGCTGTAACCCAAAGCAAGGCCTCACATCTGACTACAGCATATTAAAGCCTTAGGACATACAAATTATTCATTCAGATAGGGATTTATGTTCAGCTACTGCTTTACAAATCATCAAGTACTCCCACAGGTGATTGCCACAGCAAGGATATTTGGGGAATCTCTCAAGATTGGTGAGTATTGTATCTCTCAAGAAAGTGAATGTTAGTGTAGAGTCAAAAGCACTTTATCACTCCCTTCCTTACTACTTCCTTACTACTGTCACATCAGACAACAGGGAGATATCACACTCCGTGAAAATAAGCTGTATTAACCCTGCAAGGGGGCAAATCTCTTCTACAACTAAATCACACTCCATGAACACCTGCAGAGTGACTCTTAGATCTCTCCAGTAAAGAACAGACAGATTTACGGGGCACCAAACCCTTACTATGTCAGAATGTACAGTGAAAATTATGCTATGTCCATAGCTGTCCAGAGGACCCCAAACAGAGGCTCTAGAAACCACTGATGACTTTTCTCAAGTCCAGGAAAATCCACCAGCAGTTGCTTATGGATCGGAATTGTCTAGAATAACGTTACCTTTAACATTTATAGCTCTACCACAGCTATACAGATGTCAACATCTTCCCTTCTTTCCTGACCAGGGCATGAGCAGCAGACAACCCACATAGGAAAAGGACCGCTCCAATTTGCCCAAAGCCTGACAGTTTTTTCTTCCCCAGACAGAAAATGGGGCAACTTTAATATGGTAATGATGTTCCACATGAACTTGTTCTTCAAACAAGGACTAGTTTGTTGTCAGACAGAAATGGAAAAGGGTCAACCTTTTCTGCCCCTTCTGCATACAACAATTCCTTCTTTTGGGAGGAATGGCTTGAAAGCTCCAGTTATCTCAGTCTGTTTTCTACTAAGAGTGACACCTCCAAACAGACTCCTCCTGTCCCTTTTTTAGGCTATGAACGGGTCCTTGGTGTTCCAGCCAGGCCACTTCTCCAATGCAGCTTCTGTCATTAGGAAAAAAAAAAAAAAAAAAAAAACCCACCACATTTTCTTGGAAAGTTCTGCAAATATTTTATGCCCCCTCTTTTTCTCTTTTTTCCCTTCTTT